TGAGCCGCACGGGGCCGGCGCTGGTGCTGGGGCAGGCTCGGCCGCCAGGGGCCCTGCTCAGCGTGCCCGTGCTGAGCAGCCTGCTGCTGCAGGTGGCCCTGGTGGCTGGCGTGCAGCTGGGGGGCTACTTCCTGACTGTGGCCCAGCCCTGGTGAGTAGGGAGCCCACCCCCAGATCCCACCCCTGCCCTGTCCTCTGCACGCTCATCCCCTGACCCCTGGTCCTCAGGTTCGTGCCTCTGAACAAGACAGTGCCCGCACCAGACAACCTGCCCAACTACGAGAACACAGTGGTCTTCTTGCTGTCCAGCTTCCAGTACCTCGTCCTGGCTGCAGCCGTGTCCAAGGGGGCGCCCTTTCGCCGGCCACTGTACACCAACGGTGCTGCTGCGTGGGAGGTGGGGGTGGGCGCGGGGGTGGGGTGGGGGCTGGTGCCTGTGGGGAGTCCCACCGGGCTGGTGTGTGAGTGTGGGGGATCCCTGGCCTGACAGACTCCCCACCCCCAGTGCCCTTCCTGGTGGCCCTGGCGCTCTTGGGCTCCATCTTGGGGGGCCTCCTCCTGGTCCCTGGCCTCCTGCAGGGGCCGCTGGCACTGAGGAGCATCGCCGACACCCGCTTCAAGCTGCTGCTGCTGGGCATGGTCGCCCTCAACGTCGTGGGCGCCCTCATGCTGGAGGTGGGGCCGCCCGCGGGGTTGGAGGGGCTCGGGTGGGGCTCGCCCCAGCGGCCCGGCACTGCTCTGCTCTGCTGTCCGCAGAGCGTGCTGGACCAGTGCCTCCCAGGCTGCCTGCGGTGGCTGCGGCCCAAGAGGGCCTCCAAGAAGCGGTTCAAGCAGCTGGAGCGGGAGCTGGCTGAGCAGCCCTGGCCGCCGCTCACCGGGCCCGGGCGGTAGTGCACCCCGTCTGGCCCGCAGGACACTGGTCTCCCTGCCTCTGATCCACCGACGGGGCCCGTCGATAGACACACCACTCCCACTGCAGCCCCGGGGTCGGCAGTGGACACTCCCGCCCACGGCTGCCCAGCCCCGCCGCCCTGCCCCCTCCCTGCCCGGAAATGCTGATACTGTCGGCCCAGACACCCGTCCCTCTTCGGAGACAGCAGCCACCAACCCCCTCCGAGCTGCTGCTCCTGTAGCGATTAAAGTCACTATTTTCCTGGCTGGGCTGTGCCTGTTTCCTGCCTGGTACATGCTGAGCCGGGTGCCCACCCGTCTGTTCCTGGTGCCCCTGGTTTCCCCATCGCAGTAGGCACCCCCTCGGGGCCTCCATTTCTTCACCTGAGAGTGGTATTTCTGGGTGGCCTGTGGCTGAGCTTGTGCCTGGCGCCCGTGAAGCCTTTTGGAGCATTGTCATTAATCTTCACGGTGGCTGAAGACTGCTGTCCCCGGGTGGCTGATCCAGGAACTGGGGTGTAGAGGTCACACAGGGTGTCAGAGGTGGGGCCAGACTGCTTTGACTTCAGCATCCACTCTCTGTTTTTTATTAATCCTCACCCTAGGATACTTTTCCATTGATTTTTGGATAGAGTGGAAGGGAGGGAGGGAGAGAGAAGCATCAACATGAGAAGGACACATCCACATCAATTGGTCGCCTCCCCACTGAGCCCCGACCAGGGCCAGGGATCGAACCTACAACCTGAGACCCTTCAGTACATGGGCTGACGCTCTATCCACTGAGCCATACCGTCCAGGGCTCCAGCATTCACTCTCTTAACCTTCTTACCTTCTGGGGGGCAGAAAGACAAAAGACTCGCCACAGACAAGTGCCAGCGCCTGGGAGACATTTAATGGGGCAGCTCCCTTCTCCCTCCCCCACCCCCACTTCCTGGGGGGTGTTTGAGGTCCAGTTCCCTCCTCGGGCGAAAATCCAGGCTCAGCCCACACCTCCCCGCCCAGGGAAGGGCAGGGGTGTCAGGCCCTACTCCGGAGATGCAGCTCAGCTGACCGGCCCGTCCATGCTGGGCAAGGTGGGGCAGGCAGCAGGCTGACTCCTGCCTCATTACTGGAAGGCCTGGCATCGCCCCCATCCTGCCCGTCGGAACTCAGTAAATGTTGAGATGAGGGGACCGTGGGTGTGAAAAGGTAACTCGTAACCTCAGGCACATCCGCAGACCCACACTAGGTACTGAGTGACCAGCCAGCAGCAGTGCAGGGGGCATTTGCTATTCAAGGGGAGGTCAGAGGACACACTGAGAGGCCTGGGTGTGAGTCCCTCGGTGTGAGCCGATTATTCAAGCATTTACTGGGCAGTCATGTGCCAGGCACACGGGCTGCAGTGTGGACAGCATACAGGCTTGGCCTGTGAGCAGCTTGTACCTGGTGAGAGACTTAGAAAGGAGCAGATCTCCAAGGAGCACCCACACCCGCCCCTCCCCCAATGGCCACCTCCTCTGCTTGGGGAGTGGACAGAGGCAGCAGAGAGGATCTGAAAGCCAGGACACTGCAGTAGGCAGCTTTGGGGCCTCAGTTTCCCCCTTTTGTCAAGAGTGCGGGGCAGGCCCTGGCCAGTGTGGTTCAGTGGTTAGAGCATTGGCCCATGCACCTAAGGGTCACTGGTTCGATTCCCGGTCAAAGGCATGTACCTGGGTTGCAGGTTCATTCCCTGACCCCATAGGTCGTAGCTCGGGAGGGAGGCAACCAATCAATGTGTCTCTGCCTCTCTTCCCGCCCCCTGCCCTTTCTTCCACCCTCTCAATGGAAAAATATCCTCAGTGAGGATAAAAAAAAAAAAACCAGTAGGGGGCAGGATCTCTGCCAGGCCATTTCCTGTCCTACCCTAATGGGATCGCACTTGCTAGCAGCGAAGGGCTGAGAGAGGGCTGGGCTGGCCCCCAGGGACCATAGCACTCCAGGTGCCAAAAGTGATAAGACACTGGAGAAGGAGGTGGCAGATACTCATCCGTTCAACAACCAGCACTGAGGAACAAACGATGCATGGACACACAGCCGTCCCTCTGTCCACGGGATACGTTCAAGTGGGTGCCGGAAACCGCGGATAGTACCAAACCCTGTGCATGCTGTTCTTCCCTCTGCGTACTTATCATAACATGTAACTTACAAATTAGGCACAGTGAGAGATTAACAATACAACTAATAAACCAGACAGTTATAACAATATACTGTAATAAAGATTACATGAAGGTGACATTAAATAAAACAAGGGCGACTTGAACACAGGCACTGTGACACCGTGACAGTGGACCTGATGACAGACGGCGGCTGAGGGACTACCGGGCAGAGGACACATGCAGCGTGGACACCACGGACAAAGAGATGATTCACATGAGGCTGGACGGGGTGAGGTGGTTGGAGATTTCATCACGCTACTCAGAACAGCACGCAATTGAAAACTTACAAATTGCTCATTTCTGGAATTTTCTATTTAATACTTTCAGACTGCAGTGTTCCATGGGTAACTGAAACTGTGGAAAGCAAAACCACAGATAAGGGGGGACTGCTGTGGTTCATCCCTGTCTGAAAGGATTCCGAATCTAACGGGTAGGCAGCTGTGGGGAGCACGACGGGGGAGATCTGATGGTGAGGACCCGAATCAAGGGGCATCCCAACCTCCTCCTCCCAGCTGGGGCCCCTGGGGCCCAAGCTCCCTTGACTAGGCAGGACGGAGGCTGCCCCAGAGGAAGGGGACCTGCAACTTCCACCCCGCCGGTCTTTCCAAGAATCGAGTGTACTTTCACTCATTCAGTCCCCAAATGCTCACTGAAGAGCTGCTGAGCCTGGCACTGTGCCTGATGAGCAAAAACTGAGGATGAGCAAAAACAGACTTTGTCCCTGTCTTCATGTGGTTGACAGGCTCACCGAACAGTCCCTCAGACCCGAGGCAGCATGACCGCTGTGCGCAGTAAACAAGGTGCTTCGGAGCATGTCGGGGAGAAAGGGAAGGCTCTTCTGAGGAAGGGGGGGTTTGCTCTGTAACCAGGAGGTGGACCTCACCGATGTTCCGGGAAGAAAAGCCTGAGCAAAGGCCCTGTGACAGCAGAGAAAGGAATTCAGTGAGCGACCGCCAAAAGGTCAGTGGCCAGAGGGGAACCAAGCAGGGAACGAAGAGGCAGAGCCAGACCAGGATAAAGGGTAGGGCTGTTGGGGGCCACAGGGAAGCTTAGCCTTGATCCTAGGTACCATGGGGGAAAGGGGAGCGTCTGAGGGACCAGGGGCCAGGGTCTGAGGCCGGCAGGGGAGGGCAGGGCCAATCCGGGAAGGCCCAGATTGGAGGTTGTTGCAGAGTCCAGGCAAGAGATGGTGGTGGCTTCCACCCGCCACGGGGGCAGTGGACAGATTCAAAAGGTATTTGGAGGCAGAAAGTGAGTCTGGGAGCTGTACTGGATGCGGGGCTGTCAGCAGAAGCCTGGGTAATGGAAAGATGGAGGGGCCCCTCCCTGAGCGGGAACACCTTCCGGGGCCAGCGCTGGGGGAGGGCCAGGAGGTTCTAAATTTGCAGTTGATTCCTTGTTGAATCTGATATGCCTTGGGGGGACATTCGCGGGGCCAGGCCTCGTAGGCTGAGCCAGTGGGCTGGAAGAAATGCTGGTTAGGGAAGCCACCAGCCCGGGACGATTAACAAGACCCAGAAAGCACGGCCAGAGAGGCAGGAGGAAAACCAGGCCAGGGAGGGTGTCCTGGAAGCTCCAGACGCCAGAGGGGAGCCCAGCGCTCACGCTCCGCGGGGTGGGTCTGGGGGAATCGCCTTTATGAGCCTTGGTTTCCTCTGTAAAATGGGGTACCGGGCCCACCTCACCAGCGACGCGGCCAGACGTGGTGGGGACACGAGGAGAGCGCGTTCTGCACAGTGTGAGTGCTGCCCAGACGGCCGGCGGCTCCGGGCGCCCCTCCCCTCCGCAGGTCCGCCCCAGAAGCGGCTTGAGGACCCCAGGGCGCGGCGGCCCGGGCGCGGCTCTCGCGTTAGGACCCAGCGGATCCGGGGCTGAAAGGCGGACGCCGGCCGTCGGGGGCCCGGAGGGGGGCTCTCAGCGGGCCAAGGGGCGGTTCCGGCGGGCGGACTCGGAGCGGGCGGCGGAGTGACCGGGCCAGGTAGGCGCGGGCCTGGCTGCGGGACTCGGCCGGGCGCGCTCGAGGGACCCGGGCGCGGGCAGGGGTGCGGTGCGGGGCTCTACGTGTCCCGGTCTGGGGGCGGCGCCGGCGTCCCTGAATCCCGGCCGTCTGAGCAGATGCTAAGGGGCCACTTGGAAAGTTTGGGTTCGCTTTGCGGGGAGGACCCGAGATGGGAAGGGAGGGGAGCCCGAGTTTGAGGGGAGCCAGAAGTGGGGGCGTCAGGGTGGGGGCGGCTTTTGTTCTCCCTGGGAGTTGGAATGTGGCGGGTGGGGTGCGGGTGGCGGCGGGAGCCCCGGGACGCGGAGAGACAAAGGGAGATCAGAGACTGGAGTGCGCGCCGCTGCTGATTGTTCCCAGCTGTGCGGCTGCAACATCTGGTTTCCTCCAGCCGGACCCCAGCCTGGCCCCGGCGCGGGCAGAGCCTCCCTCGAGGGAGCTGGGCAGGAGGCTCTGGGCAGGCCGGCGTGTCCCCCTCCGAGGAACGCAGAGGGGTGGGCAGCCTCCCAGGCAGGTCCTGCTGCCCGCCACACTCCCCAAATCCATGGTCCAGAAGCGCTTGATGTCCGCTGGAGCGATTCATTACTCCCACAGACTCTGCTCCCCACAGCACACCCCTTGTCCTGGGGGCCCTTTTCCCCAACAAGCCTGGGCCTGGGTGCCAGACCCTCTGGGGAGGAAAACTCCATGCAGGGGGCAGAAAGGCCAAGGAGGGGCTGCGGGGACAGACGTACACCTCTTAAGGCGCCGTAGGCCCGACTCAGGGCCTGCCCCGGAGTGGTGACAGCTCCAGTGAGCCTGCGGCCACCAGCCCGGGGACAAGGAAGGGCAGTGCAGCCCTGCAGGGAGTTGCAAGGAAGGAGATCCCTTACCAGGAGGAAGCTGAGGGTTTTTCAGAACGGGGACCTGGGTGCCAGACGTCCCCCGCCCCTGGGGCAGCGTGAGTCCTGAGTCTGCGCCGCCACCCCCTCCACCTTAGTTTCCTCATCGGACTGCAGGAGAGCTAAGCAGGGGACAGAGATGCTGACTGCACAGATGGACAGGGCGTCACAGAAGTCTCAGGATTGGGGAGAAGGGGGGCAAGATGCCCACTTCTGCCCCTTTTCTTCCCCTTTCCCTAGACCCCCCCCACGGGGGGGGGGAATATGGCAAAGTTAGGTTTCTGGTTAACTGTCTGGAAGGACTCCCTTTGCTGTGGCAGGAAGGGGGCCCTCCTGGAGAAAGAAGCCCGTGGGCCCTCTCCCAGCCAGGAGACTGACCTGCTAGGGCTGCCCCCCACTGAGCTGGGACTGGACGTGGGGACATGTAGACCCTGCCAAATCCACTGTGGGGCCAAAGACGAGGCTGCACTCATCCAGGGATTCTTAAACTTCAGAAAGCCTGGTGGAAGCTATGGATTACTGCTCTGTCCCCCCAAATCACACACACTTGTCGGTGTCAAGGGGTTCAACACTCCGACACTGGGTGACATCATGGTCTTCTCCTCCAGTGCTGCCCTTTTAGGAGCCAGGGAAACCCTCCTCAGACTCCGCCCTAAGTGTTTCCTGCTGCTGCAGACAGACAGACCACAGTCTCGTGAGTCTGACACGCAGCCAGGTCTTGGGAGGCCTGGCAGGAGAGGAATCTTCTGGGGGTGGGAGCCCTGCTCAGGCCTGGCGGCCTTAGGGGCCCCTGGGGCCCGTGCACGCATGTGGCTCCGCTGAGCGCGGTGCTCGGGGCCCAGGGGCTAACTGGGAGCAAGTGGTGGGCTGTGATGTTGGCTGGACAGGACTGAGGTACCAGGGATGGGCCCCGGGGTCAGGAATTCGTATGATCAGTGCCTCAGACTCCTGGGGAGGTGCTGAACCAGAAGGTGGGCGTGATAGTGGGCAAGGAGAGCAAGGTCAGGGCTGGGGATGGAGGTGGGGTTAGAAACGTCCCCTTACTGAGCAAGGCAGGGTAGGTTCTGTCCATTTGTCCAGATCAGCCCTGGAGCCAAGTTGGAGGTCTTTCCCTCCAAAGTAGTTTCCCCTCCAGACTCTGGGCCCTCCACGTGACTGGCTTCTATTCCGAGGGTCTCGTTCTCCCTGCTGAATTCCGGGGAGCAGAGGTGGGTTCGGCAGCCCTGGGTAGTGGGCCTGGGATGCAGTTGGCCCCCTCCTCTTCTCCAGCTGTCCTGACACCAACCCACCCGCCTCACTCAGTAGCCATGAGAGCTGCCTACCTCTTCCTGCTGTTCCTGCCTGGTGAGTGGCTCCTGGAGATGAGGGGGTTCCCCTTACGTGGGTGCGAGTGAGGTTTGGAGATGGCAGTGAATCTTTGTTGTGCCCTGTGGCCAGAACTCAGCTCCCAGGGTCCCAGGGCCCTTGCCCCTTGCACCACAGACTGGACGGGCCAACCCCTCCCAAAGGAAGGGCATTTCCTGGGCCCTTCCCCCACTGCCCACAGCAGCAGGCAGAGTGGGTTCACACCGGGCAGCAGGAGTCCATGCTTTTCCTCTTACTTCCTGACCCCCCCAGGAGCTAATTCGTGGGAGTTGTGGGTACCCAAGGCAGGGAGTCTAGAGCCATTTGGGGTTCAACCATCCTATACCATCTTGACCTTAAGAGGGGTCCCTATTGGTCAAGTGAGAAGTTATCCGTGGGGATCAGAAGGCCCTGGCCGGTCTATCATGCATTCATTGAACAGCTCTTTGTTGAGCACCTACCATGTGCCAGGCCCTGGGTTAGGCCCTGGGAGTACAGTGATGAACCAGGCAGACAAGTGCCTGCCCTCGTGGTGCTGCCGGCCTAGGGAAGGGAGGGCTGTATGATCAAGTAGATAAATGTCAGACTGTGCTTAGTGCTGCGATGGAAATAGACAAGAGGGTGAGTGGGCCAGCAAGAGCCTCTTAGCAGAGCTCAACTTTTATTTGAGACCTGAAGGAGGTGACCAGGATCACAGGACTAGCAAGAGGCAAATGCAAAGGCCCTGGGGCAGGCAGGAGAGTGTTGAGTTCCAGGGGGCCAGCGTGAGAGAGATGGGCAGGATGAGGTCAGTGAGGTGACACAGGACCAGGGAGCGTAAGGGCCAAAATGGGTGAGGAAGGAGTTTAGATACTGAAGGTCTAAGAGCCTGGTTGTAGGATCTTAGGTCTTACATGCCTACCTGACCTCTGCTTACCCTCCCGAGAAATGCCTTGGGGCCCCTCTGTCCCTGTGGGGCACCCCTCATGCTTTGCTTCCCCACAGCAGGCCTGCTGGCTCAGGGGCAGTATGACCTGGGCCCACTGCCGCCGTTCCCAGACCACGTCCAGTACACCCATTACAGCGACCAGATTGGTAAGGCCCCCCACCCCCACCCCCGCCATGTCATCAAGGCTCAGCCAGGTTCCTGATGGGGTTAGTGATGGAAGTCCGGGTGGGGGGTGGATGGGGGCCCCTGGCTCAGTTGTGACCTGTTTTGCTCCGGGGCTGGGAGCTGGCCTGACCCTCATCAATTCATCTTTGTTTTCAGACAACCCGGACTACTATGATTACCAAGGTAAAGAGGATGGTGCTGAATAGGACGGTGGGCATCTGGGTGGGGGAGCAGACCCCTTATCATGTCCTGTTGCAGAGGCCACTCCTCGGCCCTCTGAGGGACAGTTCCAGTTCCAGTCTCAGCAGCAAGTCCAACAGGAAGTCATCCCAGCCCCCACCTTCGGTAGGCGAAGCCCGTCAGCCCCGGGAGTGGTGTCTGCCGGGGGTGGGAGAGATCTCACTCTGCCCTGAGCAGACCTCTCTCAGTGATCTCTGCCTGCCCCTCTCCCAACACCAGAGCCAGGAAACACAGAGACGGAGCCCACAGAGCCTGGGCCTCTTGGTAAGAGCTCTCTTGACAGTTGGAGGCACAGGCGTGGCCCCCGAAGTTGGGGCGAAATGGGGTGGGATGCTGGTAGAACAGAGATCACCAGGCTTTGTGCTCTTGCCTGGGTAGGTGGTGGGGTGCGGGGCTTGCATATGCGTCCCTGCTTTGGGCCACCAACTCCAGGGCCTGGGGCCTAGGGCCTGGCTGGAGAGGACCTCTGCTCCAGACACTGGGGAGGGGCAGGAGCGTGCGGGGCCTTCCTGCCAGCCTAGAGCTCTGGCAGGCTGGTGAAGACTGCAGGAAGTCCAGGCTGGCTCCGCAGGCCCCGCTGCGCCAGCCAAGAGCCTGCGAGCCAGACTGTGAGGATCCCCGTCTGACCCTCCTAAGCTCAGTGTGGTAGTGTGCTCCTGTGAGGTGGGTGTGGACTTCTGTGACAGTGTGTGTGGGTGTGGACTTGCTACATATAAATACATTGTATACAATTGGATAGCCTCAGGTCCAACAACCAGAGCGGAGTGTGCGTGAGTTGGGCGTGTGTGGGCCAGATCGTGCGGGATATACCTAGACCCTGAGATGAGAGCCAGTCTCTGGTGGGCAAGGTTGAGGGCTACCCCCTCCCAGTTCTGGGCGCTAAGTTGCAGCCCCCAGTCTGACCCCACCTGTCACCCAGACTGCCGCGAGGAGCAGTACCCGTGCACCCGCCTCTACTCCATACACAAGCCCTGCAAACAGTGTCTCAACGAGGTCTGCTTCTACAGGTGAGTGCGGGCGGGGCGCGGGGCGGGATTTCAGGAAACATAATGAACCCTGAAGTGGAGCTCCACTCTGGTTGAGCCCTGGCCTGGGTCCCCGTGGGGCTGGGTGAGGGGGCGCTGACCCCTCCTCTGGCCTCGTCCCCCAGCCTCCGCCGAATGTACGTCATCAATAAGGAGATCTGTGTCCGCACAGTCTGTGCCCATGAGGAGCTCCTCCGAGGTAGGAAGCCTCCATCCCCAGACCTCTCCCTGCCCTTGCTACTCATTACCCAGCCACCTGAGGTTTATTAAACACCTTATATGCGGGGACTACTTCCAGGGGATCCTGAAATCAGAGTGGGGAGCAGTTCCCATCACTCAGCCCCACCCTGACCCCACCTTTCTGCCCCCAACAGCTGACCTGTGTCGGGACAAGTTCTCCAAGTGTGGTGTGATGGCCAGCAGTGGCCTGTGCCAATCTGTGGCGACCTCCTGTGCTAGGAGCTGCGGGGGCTGCTAGGGTGCAGATGGCACCCCAGCCCGCCCCTCCTCAGATCCGGGGCCCTCGGGTCCTGCTTGACCTGGTGCTTTCCTTCCCGGCCCGACGTTCCTTTCATTCTGTTAAGAAGTTAGTGGACTGCGGCCCAGGGGGTTGTCTCAGGCCCTCCCCAGACTGGCCACCCCTGAGGCACAGTGGGAGCTCCCCACAACCCACCCTTCGCCCCCAGGTGGGGGGCATCCTGGGCCTCTCAGTGGGACCTGGGCCTCTGACATGCCTTCTCAGCCCCTCTGAGGATAGTCCCCCACCCCTGAGGTAGGCTGTGCCCCTCACCCCAGCTGGTCTGCTTGGATTTCCTACAGCGCCCGGGCATAGACCACCTCTGTTTTATACAAAATTAAAAATAAGTTTTTACAAAAGATTCAGTCACTTTTCAGAGAACACAAAGGGGGTGGCCAGGTGCCTCCGGCACGGCCTGGACTGAGAGCTCCCTGGCCCCTTGAGAAGGGACTGTGCAGGCGACCTGCGGCTTTGCCTCTGCTGTCCCAGCCCTGCCTCCCCACCCACTGCCCAGCTGACCTGCCAGAAAGGTGGGCCACCACAGCTGCCCCAGGGCTAATCATAGGAGAAGGTTCGGGAACCCTGGGTGTGGAAGGCTAGGAGGCAGGTCGCGGGAGGTGGACAGAGACCCGGTGCGGTTCAGGGGGCAGACGCAGGGCACGCCGGGATCCCCTCTGGCCAGCACGCGGCCGGCTCCGCACGCCTGCTCAGCGAGTCCCATCTAACCTCCAAACAGGCCTGCTTGGCGTACGGACGGAGGCTGAGCCCAGAGGCCTAAGTGACCCCCAGGGTCCACGGCCAGAAGTGGCAGAGCTGAGCAGCACCTGCTCTGCTGATTCCAAAGTGGGGGCAGCTTCTCGGAGACACGGACTGAACACCGTCCACGGGCACTTGCTCATAACCAGCCGGGGGGCGGGTTCCCATTTATGGATCCACAAGCGGAGGCTCCAACAGGTTAAGCACCTTTGCCCGAGCTCACTCAGCGGGGCCAGGCCAAGACCCCGTGTCCACTCCCAGGCGTGCACGTGTTCACCACGCTGCCCCGAAGGCCTGTCGCTCTCCAGAGGGTTGGGCCAGCGATAGGGATGAGAAAGCTCCGGCTAGAGTCAAGCGCACAGGTTGGGTCACAGCTCCAAGCCTCAACAGCCCCATCTGTTAAACAGGGTGGGTGGCACTGGACATCCTGAGATCGGTGAGTTCCACAGGCCTTCCCGAAGCTCCCCCTCCCTGAGCCCCTCGCTGGGGCACCCCCTCCCTCTTGCCCCTGGCCCTACCTGTCTCCCCTCCCATCGACCAAGCACATTGATAGTAAAGGGACACATTTGTACAAAACCGTTTTTAGAAAATGAGGTCTTGTTATAAAAAACACAAACAGTTCTGAACAATTAACATTATAAAAAGGTATAAAAATACAGGGACTCTGACCGCTAAGAAATTTTCTGACACATTCTGAACTAAGGCAGATCTCTGGGAAGATCTGACCCCTGCCCTAGGCCTGGGACCCTTCCTCCTTCCCAGGAGCCCATGCTCCAGGGCCAGCCAGACAAGAGGGCTCCCTGAGCCCCAGCTTCGGCTCAGCCACTCAGGCTCAGTCTGGAGTGGCTCCTCGGGGGAGGGGCCTGGGCTGAGGTGGGCCCACAGGTGGCCAGTGGCTCTGATAACGCTGGAAGCCACTGCTGGGTCTGGCCTGGCACTGGAGTGTCCACCTCGGAACTGCCACCCCGCCTCACACCCCATGTCAGCTCTCCGGCGGCCCTGACAGGCCCAGGCTTTTGAGGGGACTGTGCTAGAGAGAAGGCCCCTCTCCGGCCCCAGCTACCAGCCAGGAAGGGGCTCATATCTCTGGGGGCCTGGAGGCAGGGGAGAAGGATGCTGAGCTCCTTCGAAGCTCCTGCTGCAACTGTCCCTTCAGTGTGGACACCTGCGGATGAAAGAGAAGGTAGAGCCAGCCCAGGTATTCAGCCTGATTTTAGAGAAAGGGGGGTGACTGCAGCTGAGACCCCGGGAAAAACAGGTCTCATTAAGAACCAGGGTGTTTTCTTTCCTTTTCATTCTGTTCCATGGGATAGTCAGGTGTCCCGACTGCTCAGCATCTCTTGGGGGGCCACCTCATCCCCACTTTCATCGCTCAGGCCTGGCTTACCAAACCGCCTTGCCCTGTAACACCGTCAGGCCAGGGAGGAGGGGCTGGGATTGAAGCTGGTCAGCGGAGCAGCATCCCTGGGACTCTTGCAGTTGCCCTCAGAAAAAAGACCCCCCGCCCCCCTGGGAGCAAGGGTGGTTGGGATAACCCGCGGCTGGAGCTGCTGAGGCCACCTGCGCCGCTCACGGAGAGAGCCTGCCCAGAGCCAGGGACAGCAGAGCCATGGCAAGGGGACTGAGTTCCAGTGACATCACTGAAGCCCGTGTTCAGCCATGGTTGACACCAGCGGACCATTTCAGTTTTTGATGCCACAGACGGTTTAGACCCAAAGGGTCACACCCGGCCCTCCCCCTCCCCTTCCTTCTCCAGCCTCTCACTTCCATGCTGGTCCAGCTTCCCAAGAGAGGGGGCCTGCTGGCTCTGCAGCCCCCGGGGAGGGGCCGGAGCCCCGTCAGGCCCAGTACCTGCTCCTCCAGCCCACGCACCCGCTGCTGGTGGGCCCGCTCCCGAGCCTCCAGGGTGCGTTCCGTCTGCACCTGGGCGCTGCGCAGCCGCTCCACCTCCTGCTGTAGCTCCAGCTGCTGCTCCTCCGCCTCCAGCCGGGCTGGGCTATGGTCCTGCTCCAGCACCACCACCTGGGCCTGCAGGAGAGGCTGCTCGTGGGGAGTCTGGCAGGGGGTGGGGTGTGTGTTTGTGTGTCAGATCAGGCACCCCCAGGGCAGGAGCCTGAAGGCCCCTTGGGGCAAAGCCTGTGCAGGCAGGGGATGCTGGAGAGACCCCTGAGATCCTTGTTTGTTCCCGAGCCCCCAGCCCTCTTGGCCTGGGATTAGGGTACCTATGACCCACACTCAGACACACACACACACACACACACACACACAATGTGCTGAAACAAGCACATATGCATACAGGCACAAAAGCATGTTAAATACTTGTGTGTACACATGTGCCAAGGTCCAATACTCCTATATACACGAAAACATCTGTACAGACGCACACAGATATAACCCATTCTTAATACTCAGGCTTGCCACATCTGTGCAGAAGATTCAACCACCAGAATACACCCATGCCCACTCTACATGTCCACGACACATGAACACACAGACTCAGGTGCTAGCCGGACGTTAGCATCTCTTTTCTCTCAGCACTGGGGAGGACCCCTCCCTCTGGGCCCTCACTCTGAGCCCTAGGGCTCATGCGTTGTGGGCTCTGGGCTGGCTGAGCTAGCAGCACCTCCTGGGCCAGCCTGACACTGAGGCTGGGGTGGGGGTGGGGGTGGGTTAGGGAGAGAAGGGGTGTGGCGGGCTGGGTGGGCAGTGGCGGGACCTCCAGCAGCTGGATCTGCCTCTGGGCCTCGGCCAGCTCCAGCTCCGCCCCAGTGAGCGTGCGGTCCAGGCGGCCCTTCTCTGCACTAAGCCGCACTGTGTCCTCATGGCTGCGAAGCTTCTCCCGCTCTACCTGGGTGGGGAGAGCCGGAGGGGAGCAGGGTGCCCGGGACAGAGGGAGGTCCGGGAAGGGGGCTCCGGCAGGGGTGGTAGGTTAGAGGCAGCAGGACCAGGGACCAGGAGGACCCAAAGCCCCCAGACCCTAGCGACATGCTGCTGGGACCAACCATAGCTAGGACCTAAAGCAAGTGAGGGCGGGCCCTGGTGAGCAGCCCACCTTGTCCAGCGTCCTCTTGAGGGCCACCCGGTCCTTCTCCAGCCGCAGGGCAGACCGCTCCGCCTCCCGCTTCTCGGCCTCCAGCTGAGCCAGAGCGCGCTGCAGGCCGCTCAGGCGCTCCTGCAGCAGCCGCCGCTCGTCCTGCAGCTTCTGGACCGTGTGCAGGGCCGTAGCCTCGGCCTCTTGACGCTGCCGCAGCACCTGCAGCACAAGCCAGCAAGTCCCTGATCCCTCTGGGCCTCAGAGTGGGCGCCTGAAGCTCGGGGAGGACAATGGCACCGTGCTGTGCCCACTAGCTTGGCAGGGCGACTGTGAAGCCCACACCAGGAAACTGTCACCTGAGGCCAGACAGTTCTCTTCTCTGGGCCTCAGTTTCTCCATCTCTATAATGGGGGCACCATGCTTCATTCCTGGGCTTGTGGGTTAAGGGGGTTCCTCCTCCCAGGAGGCTGGACCTGGGTTTGGAATGAGGTTGAGATAGATGGGAAGGTCTCCACCCCATCCTCAGGGGCCTCAGCATCCCGGGGACAGAGGGGTCCGCCCTGGCCCTCACCTCCTGCAGCTGTTGCAGCTGGCCCTCAGCCTCTGCCCGCTGCAGCTCCAGGTCCGCCATCTCGCCCCGCATCACCTGCAGCTGCTCGCCCAGGGAGCTGCTCTGCTTCCGGGCCTCGGACAGCGCCTGCCGAGCGGCCTCCAGCCGTTCCTGGGGGACAGGGGCTGATGGTGCCAGGCGGGGGGCACACCCTCTACTCTATATCTCAGGCCAGTTTCACAGCCCATAAAACAGGTGGTCATCTCACCTGGAGGGTGAGCCAGACTGCAGGACTGGCCCACAGCCTATCCACTGACCTATATAAGACGGGGACCCCTCAGACCCCAAATTTCTCCCCGTTAACCCTGCATCTAGGTCCCTCCAAGCCTGTACGAGTAGGCTGTTCTCTTATCCCCCCAGCCTCCTCTCACTGGCTGATACTCTTATTAGGCCCACCCTTCCCTCTCATTGATTGGTCCCTTCAGTTTTCCAACTGACTGCCCCATTGGCTGGCTCTCTACCAGACACCTCGAAGCCTGCCCTATAGGTTAACTAACTCTTACTGGGTCCATCCCCAGCCAGACCCTGGAATCCTCATACCTGGAGCACTTGGCGGTCGTGTTCACAGGCCGTCAGGGCCTTCTGCAGTTGCAGATTCTTGTCCTGGGTGCTGGTGAGGCTGGTACTGTTCTGGGCCAGGGCCTCTGTCAGCCCCTGCACCTTGTCACGCAGGGCCCCCTCGCTCTCCTCCACCTTGGCCAGGGCCCCATTCAGCCGCTCCACTGTCAGCTGCAGAGTCCCTGCCTTCGCCTCACTGTCTGCCACCTGGCAGGGAAGACGAGTCGTGAGGTAGCTCTGTTCTCACTGTGGCCTCCAGAAGAAAGGTCCAACCCGACCCAGCCCTTCCTCTCTCTAGGCCTTCATCACGACACTCATTGTTCCCATGC